AACAAATCACCGATATGCAAGTAACAATAAATAAAATAAATCCATCGTAAAATAAAGCTGCTATACTATGCTCATGTAATTTCGTGCAAAGTGCAAATAATTCATTCCTAGGCCTGATTAAGGTAGAAATCTGTAAAATATTACTTTGAAAATGTGATTATTTTCAACATAAGCAACGTGTTGGGATATTAGTCATCAGGTACACAGGATGGGTGTGACAACTCATACATTAGGAAGATGAATTATAGGTCATACACAAAGTATCATTTTAGAACATTCCCCATTAATCGAAATCAAATTTCGGATACGAGAATATTTCATGACTAAAACATCTACTCTGTCAGACATATATCACGTTTCGACTCTCGTTCACCGCGCGCAATTTCCTGATAGCACAATATATTTCATATCAAGTGATACAAAAGTTGTAAATCAGACAAACTCACCGCTTTGACTGTTGACTATTTCTAATGTGGTGTCCACAAGTTGATTTTGTACATTTATTTTTGCGCGGGTCTTGCAATTTTGAATAATTCTGAGTACTTTTTAGTAGTGAACTAAATTTCGTACTATCTGCTAAACTTGAAATTGTTACCATGTTTAGAAATATACGTCATGGACCATAACACATAACCCGCGAACGGCATAACTACTGATTTTGATTCAAGGTTCATTTTAATATTTGTTGTCGAATCTGGACGGTTTTCACTGTAAAAATCGTCATCTAAATTAAGGTGAACGAATCCTAAATGGATTTAAATAAATAACTGTCGAGTCACAGGAAAAATGGTGTTTGTAAACAATCGACTCATGAAATGATGCGCATCGAGTCGATTTATTGGGAAGGACCGAATGTAATTTGGTAGACTTGGAGACGCCCTACGCCTTTCGGATATACTCGGTAGTGTTCGGCTAGTATTAAAAAACGTTTGACCCGGATATTAGGAGAATACCCTAACGCAAGTAATCTTTCAGAAGAGAACCGAAACATGCAAACATGAAGACCACCCTAACTGGTATGGGAGAAGCGAAACGTTCAAATTTGTAGACTATCCTAACGTGCGTAACCTGCCAATGAAAACGAAATTTGGAGACTACTCTAACATAAATGCACTACAAACGTGTCCTCTTGGCCAATACACATCACATGGTGGCTGTCATGTAATTGTATATACCTGTATATTCAGCAGAGAACCCAGGATTTACTCCCTTTGTTGAAGTATACGGGTATGCGCCGCTATTTGAAATCCATTCCTAAGGTCAACCCGAAATTGATCTCCAATTGCAAGATTTACGGCAATTTGAGCAAACTTTAGGTATTTCTATGGCGAATTTGTTTTTATTTTTTGAAAAACGGCACCCTTTTTGTGTCCAGTTTTCAACTGGCGCACTCCAACCCGAAATCAAGATGTCTACTCCCTATGCTGCAAACATTCAACTATGCATATATAAAACGCGCAAGTTGTGAAGAATAACGAGAAAATTGTATTGTACTCTTCCATTGCGTCGAAATAGTCCCCATTAACTGAATATTAATTACACGGTTGCTCACCAGTAAACATCACATGTTCAATTGGAGTAATACAAATAACCATAAGTTGCTTTTTCTGTCATTTACAAATATTAGTCACCTACTATTTTTTAGCGTACAGTTCGTTGTACTGTACTCTAACGTTGACCTGGAACACACGCGCATATTAATCACGCTGGGAAAATGTCGGTACTCGCAAAGGGAATATTTTCGAATCGTTGGCGTGTCGGGACTGTCAACTACGTATGCAGGCTTACAAAGGTTAACATTGATAGACTATTGTGATTCAGTATTATGTACAGGTCTTGAAGGCACTTCAAACCGAAGCAAGGACCGTCACAAAGGACATTGTGATATTTTTTAGTGTAAAACTATTTGACATTTATAGTATGAATATATTATGGCCTTGAATTAGTCTCAGGTTCACATTCATACAAGTGCCCCTTCAGCCTTGGAGAGGTTAGACTTATCGATGTTTCCCTACTCAAATGTTTAATTTCTTTTTGATTCACAGTTCGTATACTACCTACAATACAATATTTTCTACAGTTACTCCGCCTATACAATCCGTGAAATGTGATCATTCGTTTATTATATTGTATATAATGCGTTAACGAACGTGGGATTAGGACAAATTGTCGAATTCCAAATGTTAAAACGGTGCACGGTTTTTCTAAAACACCAATATTTTGTAATTTCATTTATTACAACAAAACACATATATATACTTTTGAAATTAGTGCCCCGTGGTGCATCGGATGACCATTCGTTTATTTGATTTTCGTCACAATAATATTATGAGAAGTGATAACAATAACGGTGAAATGTGATATATTGAGAATGCAAATTATTCAACCCGAAGTGAAATTTGGAATATTGCTTCCAATTTCCAATTTCGCTGCAGGTCTATTATGGAAAGTTTATGTTAATTAGTCAGAAGTGTAGAAAAATAATATCCATGGTTCATAGTGTAATTCGTTCACGCATTATACAAATATGCCACGGATTGATTTCCCAATCACTGCAAGATCTCGTGTAATGTGATTAAATTTTGTACTTGATATTCATTTTTGGCTCAACGGACCATAGGTCCGCTGAGCCTATGGGATGAGTTTCTGTCCTGCGTCTGTCGTCCGTCTATCTATCTATCTGTCTGTCTGTGCACGACTTCTTCTCAACAATATTCGAACCGTTTGACTCGATTTTTGGTGTGTGGATGCCTTGATGAGTGTAGATGGTAATTTGTTCATGAGAAGTCGATCTGCTAAAAATTATGCGAATTAGCTCCCAAAACTCTAAAATTTCTTCTATGATACTATGACACTAAGTGGTCTACAGTGTTGATATTGATAGTGCATGTGCCTTGGGTTGTCCTCTATCAGTTTTGTTAATTTGGTAAGGAAATTTTTAATTTCCTAATTTTGGCGAATATTTTAAAATGGTCATTTTTGGTCAAAAACTCTATTTTCGACTTTTTCTCTGAAACTGATGG